GTGGGGTATAAAATCCATAAAGATTTGTCTATATGACTGTCAGTTGCTTGTTTATGTCCTTCCTCAGTGAAATCTCAGAGAGGCATCAGGAGATGTGTTGCCTGGTCCCATCCCTCAATAATCTTCTGGTAGCAGCTACCTGACCAACCTCACCACATCCTTCTGGGTTTCATTAGTTACAGTGACCTTATAAATCACAAACTATCAAGATCTGACAGCTCACCAAAGTGTAAGTATTCTATGAAAAGCTAATTCAGATGATGCCAGAAAGCACGTCCTGTCCCCATGGCTTTGAAACTTTCCTGAAAATTTGGGGGTTTCTGGTAGCAACTAGGTCCCTTTCCTGTTACACAGCACCCCTGGTGTCTCACTTCTAAGACTAGTGGAAGGCAGGAGGAGGCAATACCACAGACAAGAAGAGGTCTTCTCTTTGCACTGACCTTGCATTGGTGCTGGGATGGAATGTAAAGGACTAGGGAACCACTCCTGCTTCAACTACACTTATTATTATTTCCTGGGAACAGATTAAGGGACCATGCTTGTCAAGCCACTGGCTGTGGGAGCAACTCAACCATCCTCATTTATCTATGAGCTGATCCCAAGCAGTGAAACACAATGGTTTTCACATCCTAAGATGCACTGCAAATCCAGGGAGCTGGGATACAAAAAGCACCCTAAATGGCACATGTGGGTCTGAAGAAACAACACTTCCTCATACTTCCAAGTATAGTCCCACAGAGGTTAAGGGCTGAATGCAAAAGCAACCTGTGATACCTCTCTCTGTCCCTTGGTACTTGAAGGTGATTCTCCTTTATAAGTGATTCTCCTTTATAAATTCACACTAAAAAAAAAATTAAAAAAAATCAAAAAGCCCATGTTTGAACTGTACGAATAACACTGGTATTTGTCTTGGCACTGGACATTTTGACCTGACATCTCAACAGAATTCCCTTTTGTATCCAGCCAACTTATCAAGTGACCCCCCATCTTGCTGCTCTCCACTGTCCCGAAGTTCATGCCCTGGACCACCAGTGCAATGATCAAAGTCTGCAGAACAAACATGGAAAAAAACCCATTTCCAGGGAACAGATATATATCTCCCTTTCTACCAGCTTCATTATTTCTTTACACTGCATTTCTACATTTATTACTTACGTAATACTACATGTCTAACATTTCTAATGCCACCTATTGTTGCAGTGGACACATCACTTCATCGATTCATGTCCTTGAAACATCAGTCTTCAGGATCTTTCAATTCATCTTCTTCAAGCCACTATTCCAGTTGCATTTTCACTTGATACACTGATTTGAGGAAACTGGTTGGTAAGAGGAGTCTGAAACCACACAAAGCAGTATTATTTCTCTCTCCCCAGTTTAATCAGAGCAGGCACAGGTCCAACACAAAGCCTCAGCTGAATTTCCTATAAGCAAAATGCTGGACAAAAAAAAAAAAGCAAGATCATGGCAAGCATTTATGACAACAAGCTCATTGGCGGCCAACATTTTGTATCTGCATCATTATTAATCTGCTCTGCCAGATCTGATTCTTCTGAAGAGCTGATACCTCATATAAAAAGCACACATTGCAAATCACAGGGGATGATGACAGTTTCTATCAGTGCTTAAAGAGAGGAAGGAAAGGCAAAATGTGCAGTGTGCTGCTCTTACTTGTTGCACAATGTAGGAATTTTTTTGACCTGTATCACATTAGAAAACAAGTGAGGTCTAAACAATTTCACCCATTTCAAACACAGTGGGCCAAATTCCCAACCAGCATGAAAAGCCGCATATCCACTGAAATCGATGGAGTTATGCCAGTTCGGCTGAGAACTTGGCTTTGCATGTCAGTTCATTCAGCAATGATTGCACTTGACATGCAGCACAGAACAAGCATTTGTTTTTAAAAATAAACAGTGGAGTCTTTCAGTGCTGACCCAGCCTATACATAGTCCTGGCTCCAAGAACAGGATTAACTGTCCTTAGCTCAAGGTCCTATGTATTTGTGCAAAGGAAGAGTAAAGAGGAGGGAAAAAAGCACATTCTTGGGTGCACGGTTGGCATGTCACCACTCAAGACAAGAAATGATGGTCTGTAGAACAGGGCAACTTTGCTCTTCATGGGAACTTGCAAGTGGCACATGTACTTAATGTCCTTATAGACACTGGGCATCCTTTCACCCCACCTGAACACCATGGACTCACATCCCTCACTTTACCTCACCATTACCAACCACTGCCCTGGGCCAGACCACCAGTTTCTCACAGAGTTCAAAAGGACTGTGTCAATCTCAGCAAGGAGTTGCTAAAGCCATATTTCCAAGAATTCTCTGGTGGCATAGCTAGGCTTACCCCAGGCATCCTTAGTCACTGACGAAACAACTGGCACAACTGGGGTAGAGGAAAACAGACAAGCCAAAACACATTCTGCTGATCATAGCCAATTAAGTGATGCCTTTGGAGAACAGCTGAGATCAGAACAAGTCAATACAAATGCATCTGTGAGACTCCCCTTACCCTTGTTTTGAAACCCATGGTGCAATCAGAATGATCATTTATTGCCCTTTTCTTTCTTGCAACATTATGGAAAATGCTGGAGGTTCTCCTTGCATAATTTCTCTCTGGTAAATTAAGTTGCAGCCCTGTTCCTCACAGCTTTCTTTTTAGTTCACATATTTTCCTTGACTAACTGCATAAAATAAATCTTGCTTTGAGATTTGATTACCAAAAAAGTATTAAATACCTAAATGTTAGTTACAAGGCCACTAAACTGAGAACAAAACCAGCAAAATTACATTGTGAATTCAGATAGCAACGTATTTATAAATACAGATTTTTCTTTCAACAAATACTTTGCCATATTTGCTTACAAGGCACAATTTCAGGATTTCTACCAGAAAGACATAAAAAACAAGTGTTATGGCTACACCTGTGGCCCTCGCCACTGCAAATGCTCTGCAATGTGTGCACATATCCCTGCAGAACTAGAGTACAACAGGTCACCTCCTGCATAGAAGTTTTTAAGTGCAAAGTACAAGGCAGAACTGCTGTCTCTACAGAAAAAGAATCCTATGAACCTTGATCTGGGAACACTGCAGGTTGTGCATCTGACATGGATGTGCAGGGCACACTGGACACAGAGCTCTCACCTGGCTTGGCCTTGGGAAAATTAGTAGCTGCCCTTTCCATCTGTATTCCTATATATTACTTCCTATCTGCTATAGTGCTGGACAGGCTAAAAAAACAAAGTGTGAAAAAGTATAACAGGAGCTACTGAACTTCTGCGCTTCAGAACTGAGGAGCAAGAAAGGAAAGCCTCAAGAAAATGCCAACCTACATTTCAACCTGGATTTTGGCTCAATCAGATCAAGAAATGACCCCTACCTCTTCACCAGCATGGTTTTTAAACATTCAAAGCACAGTATGAAAGTCCCAGTATGCTGCCTGAAAAGCCCAGGCATAAAGTTTATCCTTTAATTTGAGGCTTTGTCATTTGGCTGGGGGGAGGCAATCAGGACAAGGCTCTGGACCATGCCGCTCAAAACATGACAACAGATACCAAAAATCCGAGCTGGCTGCCTGAAGCAATTAAAGGAGTGTTTACTATTCCATGACACTTAACATGTTGGACTGACCTTTCATTTACTGTTTAGTGCTGAACATTAAGCTGCAAAATTACTCATGCTTTGCATTTAGTACTGGCATCAAAACTAACAGCATTGGATCGCTATTCCCCACGGCAAGACATGCGTTCCCTCTGCCCAGCTGTGCTCGTATTTTCATAAGCATTGCATTTGATATTTAACATCATTTCCACAGGTTATATTGGAATCATTGGTAACACTGTTACAAAATGTAAAAAGCATATGCAAAACGTCCGGGGTGATGCGGCTGGTGAAATTATGTTCCTTCCTTACATACCGGGAAGGATAAAGAGGGAAGACTGGTGTATGCCCACAGGTCCCCATGGCAGCTCCCAGCCAGATGGCAGCAGTGAAGTACAGAAGATACAGAGGAAAAGTTTCTTTATTTACTCTCCTCCTGACTGCTTAGGGCAGCTGCGTTATAAAGCGGCACAAGATGCGTTTTGTGAGAGCCTGGCAGCTCAGCAGGTGGAATATTCTCCCCAAAATAGGCAACTTTCCTTTTGATACCCTTAGGCTGGAAGGACCGGGAGTTTCCATTCCTCATGGAGAGGCTGCAGATGAAAGGGAGAGGTTAAGTTTCCAGCAAAACACCTTTGCTTGTGTGCTTTTGGTTGATCTTAGTGCTTACTATCCAAAATTATGGTTATTTCTATCCCTGGCTGTAATTTGCCTGGTCAGACACTTGGCACGCCCAAGATGCTGCATTTTGACATGAGTTAGGAATTTTGGGTCACAGGCTGCCAACACAAACAGGGGATTTTTCCATTTACTCACTGCACTCCTTCCAACTTTCAGTTGTGGTTCTGTCCTGCTGTGGGACTGCATCTCAAACCTCCACGAACTTCTCTTCCCACCCCTTATTCACCTCTGCCTGGACACTTTTCCATTACACATTTCCAAACCTCTATTGGTCACATCTTTTTTGAGAGAGAGCAATAGGCATAATGAATTGAGTCTGTGAATAGCAGAATAACATTCACTTCATATCCAGACCGGAACATTAATAAACACAAATATATTAAAGAGTTTCTCTGTCATTTGTGGGTGGGGTTTTTTCATATTCATAGCAGCTATTTATATCTAAATCTCTATTTTCTGTATTGCAAGGGGAGTTATCTGACTTATTCCCACTGCAGATTCAAAAGGGCAGATTTTCCAAGGCTGCTCAGCATGCTAATTAAGATAGAATCATGGCCGATTTGATCTTGCCCGCTTCTTTTTCAGTATTTCTAGGCAAGTGTGCAACCAATATGCCAGGAAAATGGTCAAAATTATTAAGAGATTGCTGATAGAAGGCAACTCAGTGTATTTTAAAAATCAGTGTAATTTCTTAAAGGAAGAAGAAGCCTATCAATCAAGGTTGGAATTGTATTTAATGCACATTTTGCTTTTATCGGCAATTTGCCAGTTTAAACAGCATAGACTTCACAATGCTTAATTGGTGAAGAGGTTATAGTGCTTATAAAGTTGTATAGAAAATATAGCTTATTCATTCTCTACTGAACAACATTTTTAAGAGTCTAATGTTATAATGTTATAATGTTAAAATGACATGCTATACAGTAGCAGCATGTTCCCACCACTAAAGTTAAGGTCGTCAGCATTTTCATCATGAACCTTTTCCAGGGTTTGAACACATCAGCCACAAAATTACAGCGCAGTTTGAAACAACAGGACACCCACAACGTGATCCTGTATTGATGTTAGTCAAATAAGAATAAAAACAGTAAGACATATAATAAAGGACTCCACCCAAATTTATTTTGGATGATTGCTGCCTTTGCACAACATGCTTAAAATTTCCAAAATGAAATTTAAACGTTAGCAGACAGCACAGTCTAACCAGGTTTAGCTGAATCTGAGTGCAAAGTGCCGTAAAGTGGGTGCCACAGAAGCACAATAACCACTTCTCACATACTGCACATTTTAACATACACAAGGCTGCTTCTGTCTAAGTATCAAGACTGGCAGGTAATAGCAGTTCTACCACCAAGGGAATAACAAAAGCGACTCATCTCCAGTTGTACACACTCACTGGTCATGATGAAACTACATTGTTTACCAAGTCAGCACACTGGCTACTGAGGTACCATGTGTTCTCTACAGTTAGGATAAGAAATATCTGAATTTTTATGCCACTCATGCTGCCCAATCATGCTGCCCACCATGCTGCACGGGCCCACCAAGCTGAAGGCATTTGTTGAAGCAAAGAAGGTGGATGAGGTGAAATACTGTGAGAGACCCAACAGCTTCTTCAGCGAATCACCAGAGCATACCTAAAGAAACTCACCCGTCATTTGTACCCAGTTTCCTGGTTTTATTAATAAAATGCTTCTTATTGCCATATGGTTTGGTAAGAGAAAATCTCTAGTCAGGGATCTACTTAAACATGTTCTACCTCTGCTTAAAGCAGAGCACCTCTGTACGTGCTTTCCTGAAACATTATCCCATGACCATGTGCTGTTGGTGCTGAACTGCCACGGAACCATGACAAGCTGATGATACTTTGTGGAGCTGCAGAACCAAGCTCTTTATACCACACTTGTTTTTCACATTTACAATTCCCCATTCAATAAAGTTTCCTTCCGTGATCGCTCCATTCCATACCTTTCAGACTTGGAGGTAAGCAGATAAGACTGAAAAAGAGTTGCCTAGTTCAAGCTTCGTGTACAGGCTTCATGTACAACACATTCACACGTTAATAAAAACTTGTCTAAACATCTATGTGTTCTTTGGACCAACTCCAGCCTCCCTAGGTGACTGTAACATGTCTTATAAACCTTTCATGGAAGACTTAAAAAACAGTACTTCAAGACAAAAAAGGAAAACAAATACATTAAAACATCATCAAGAAAGATAGAAGAGGAAAACAAAGTGGAGACATCCCATGCCAAATTCACTGTAAGCACAGGTTAGCAGTGTCCTCTTGAAGTCTGCTTTCTGCCTTGTTGCACAAGTTCTTTTATCTCATGATCTTAAAAGGGAGCTGCAAAGCCAAGAGGAAATTCCACTTATGCCCCCAAATATGGGTCACAAACTGAAATCCTTCTTAAGAAGGGAATTGATTAGCACCCAGCCTATTTCAGCTTGCTGTCCTGCCAAGCTTTCTGTGCACGGGCACCTGTAAAACAGGGGTAAAACATTTTTCTGCCCCAGAAAACTGCTGTAAGAACAAATGCATTTATGGTTGTCTGGACACAGTCACAGAAACAAGAGCTACATCGGCACCTAAAATACAGCCTGGCCTCCTCCTGCTGCTCCCTGCCAACAGAGCAGGTGGTCGGCAAGGACTATCAAGAGTAACATTGGTAATGGAGGGGTTTATGACACTATATGGCAGTGGCTGATTTACTTCAGCAGAATTAAATTTTGCAATAAAAACTCCCTAAGATTTTTTTTTCCTAACCACACAAATCAGCTTAAAGGATTGTACAAGAATAACCCAAACTGTATCACGTTGTGCACACGGGTAGTTTCAAAATCTGTCCACATGTGACAATAAATTCATACACAAACATGTATACTGGTTGTACCAGGGGAAAAATAGCAAGTAATTTCTAGATTCAGTTTCCATTTCTGTATTCTGTGATATTGGGCACATACCACAGACCAATGAAATGCTACAGCAATAACCCACATAACCTGTATTGTTTCCTCACCTGTGCGTAAGAAGAATGATACACTGTGTTAACAGGCATAAATCAGTTACTTATTGCATCAAAGCTCACCTGTAATCCATAAATTTCATACAGATATTATGGGTTATCATCATGGAAAGAGATCTTCATTCCGAAATTTGAACCCCCTTTCTTTCACTAGCTGTTTAGAATATATTCCTCAAAACTTTCAAGATAAAGTGAAGCAAGAAGTTTCAGCTACAGAAACATAGTGCAAAGGTTCAGTTTGGCACTGCAACATTATGGACAAACAGGAATTTATGGTAAACTGTTTAGATTTGGAAAAAAAAGAATCCTATAATTGAACCAATATTGTCAAATGTATTGCATACTATTATAACTTCACAGTAATCAAAATCAGACATCAAGGTTTCTATAGAAGCAGCAATCACAGATTGCAGTAAAGTATACCACTCAAGGGAAAAAAATTGCATTTTGGCAATTTCATAGTCAAGTGTTCCTTATGCTCCTCCAACAGTCATTTGTCAGAAAATTTCCTGTTTAAACGGTGCATATTGTTTCCTCTCAGTCCTCGTGAGACTTCTCTGCAATGACTTTGCATTCATACTGAAAAACAGAAGTTGACAAAACAATATTAATTTACATAAATCATGAAAAAGACTTATGAGAGTGACTTTTCTACAAAATGGGTAATAAAACAGCTCTTCTTAAACTTCACCCACATGACTTTGGTTTCCCAGGTTCTGTGCACACACTGGTGGCTGCAATTTCTGTCTCCCTGAGCAGCAGATAGAACAGGTCAGATTTGGGGGATGGCCTGACTTTTCCCCTAACACAGCAGCTCTTATTTAGCTCCTGGTCCTTTCAGGACCTAAAAGTATGTAACAGAGTGTGCAGAGCAAAGCATAGGCTGTGCTTTGAACAACAGGAAAAGCAATGATTACTGATTTGTACCTTACTGCACACCCACGAGTCAAATAGCTGGTTGGTACATATGGAGGAAGAAATGACACGGACATTTAGAATTTTACTAGAAGACAATCAACCCTCTCCTCCACACTCACCATTGCCAGCTGCCTGCCAATATTGCCCATAGTTATTCCACCAGCAAAAAATATACATGGCAACCAGGAACGAACATAGAGGAAATCTGGAGATGTGTATCTGGAAAAGAACACACATTTTTGAGCTCAACACTGTGCAATACAGAGAGTCCTCCAACCACAAGGCAAATTATATTAGGACATTTCAACTCAGAAAGATACATATAGAAATCTAATTACTTGCAGAAAACAACAAAGGAGGCTTCTTATTGATTATAGCAGCATCTACTCAGCTGAAAAAAGCATGTTACATTATTGGTAAGGTACTAATTTCATTTCAATTAGTAACTTCCAACTAGATTTCTCACACACATAACAGCTTTCATAAACAGTCCAATTTATGCTGTGCTCAAAATTAGGTGCTGACAGCTTTGGAAATCATATCAAATCATACTCTTTCAGTTATTCTGATTTTATGTTACAGGTTCAGAATACTATAGTTTAATCTTAAGAGAGCAAATACTTACTGATAAACTCCATTGTACACAAGAAGCTGTGATACCAATGTGGCCAGGAAAGCAATTCCCACTCCAAGGCCAAAGCCACTCCGTGATCTATCAAATGTCCACCACAGTCCAATCGACAGTGCTGCTAATGTCAGAGACAGCTGGATATTGTTGGCAAAATCCACCTTCTGGGCTGGCTGTTAAGGATAAGTTTGGAAATACCATATACAAGTGTAAAGTAATTTTTTTCATTCTGTTTATCATATTTTGGCACAAAAGAAAAAATACTACTAAAAAAATACAGCATTACCTGTGCCAGCTCTCACACAGCTACAGGCGTGAGAAAATAAGCGTTGTAAAAGTTGTCAATATATTGGGAAACTAAAAACTTATGACACTTCTTCAGATTTTAGGGTCTGGGCCCTGTACAAGAGCAAAGATACTCTAAACCTACCAGAGAATGCAAGCATTTTATAAAGACACACAATGCACACGTTACTGTTAAGAGTAAGAACATCTCATCCTCACCTCGTCCTTTATTACACTAGATATGAAAACTTAAATCTAGCATTAGACTTCTCCAAGTGACAGGAATTTACAAAAAAAGAGGTTTTTATCACTCTTAATTAATTGCAATTTGTTTATTTAAATGACACTTTACATAAAGCTCAACATTAAAATGTTAATGTTTTTTATAAAATAAAATGTAAATATTACTGGAAGTGTTCACATAAATCAACATAGAAAGTCAGTTTAGTCAGCTTTGTGACAGAAGCATGAAGTCATTCCAGATATCTTTGTAGTGTTTCACATCCTTCAAAATGTTTTGGAAACACTAACCCATCCTCCCTACTCCTGTCCAAAACAGATAATTAAAAAGGAGGCTGTCACATTTCATAAGCCTGAAAGCAAATTTATGGGATGACAATATAAAAAACACTGCTCTGTTTTCACACAAAAATCTGGAGAGAGACCTAGAGGAAATGAGAAAGAAACTTCACTAACTGAAATAATGACAGGATAAAAATCAACAGCATCAGAAAAAGTATCAAACAAGACCAAAACCCTCACCAAACATGGCAATGTGCAGAATTGGCAATAGCTGAAGAGAAAGCAGACTGGAGAGTTGTCAAGGAGGAAATACAGACAGTATGTTGCTGACGTCCTGAAATATGGGTAACAGCTGTTAGAGATCTGCAGAAGGTTTGCTGTAAATAACCAGACCCAAGCAGAGAGGTGGTGCCAACTCTCTTGTATTTCTTAAAAGCAGCAAAGTTGCATGTGCTCACCCAACAGGTACAGGCCAGGTCAGTGAGAACCACAGCACCAGACTAGTGCATCTTTGGCAAGGAGAGCGAGGCTTGTGAGGGACAGTGGGAGTGACTCGGAGCCTTGGCAGCTCCAGCTCATCCGGCCATTCTGGAGAGCAGTGGAACACCACCAAAAAACAACACAACTCATCTGACGGCCAAGCCACCTCAGTGGGAATTCAGCCTGCTTTCCCATCTTTCACCTAACTTGCCCTCTTCCTGGGAATGAGGAGACAGTAGCAGGTGGTCAGCACTTCTTAGTACTGTTTTTGTGAACTGTGTTGGAGCTGACACTGATGGAGACAAGCATCTCAGAGATGATCAACTTCCTTTCTGATTACTCTACAAGACCCCAGTTTTCACAAACAGATACTGGCTTTAGCTGACAGAGAATGCACTAGACATGACTACAGAAAACCTCTCAGCACTGCCAGTAAGGTGCACCAGTCCATGAGAATAGCACCCTGTCACCCAGTACGTCCCCAGCTGCTTCAGAGGGGACACCTTTGAGCTCACTTGTGCCAGGATGTATCTGAGCAGCTACACAATTAGGAGGAGTATAATGTACTAACACGTGCTGACTGACTTCTAATTGCTCTTACTGAATGACCACAGGAATGAGAACTACTCTCTTGGCATCAAGGAAGGCATTGTTTGCAGAATGGGGTAACAAAGCTTCCTTGAGTTGTATAGTCCTGCGTATTCCTGTCCTGAGTTTTCCCCATTCTTTGCAAAGTGCATGTGCTTCACTGATGACCTCAAAACTGGGATTCAACCTCTTACTGTGGTGTTAAAAGGACATAACTTGGAATGTCGTAAAGCACTTTTCTGTAATACCTACCACATGAATATTTTCCTACACTTACTTTAATTTTTCAAAGAAAATAAAGAATCTAAGTAAGACAAAGCCTAATACTGAGACATTTCTAATGAAAAGATATTTTCAAAAAAAAAAAGACCTGAGACTTATAACCTCCAACACTGCTACAACAGTTTGACACTAACACATATTTTACATGTCCCTTGCAAAAACTCTGCATGTTATATCTTTACTAACAATTCACGTGACTGTGATTTTTTTTTCATGGAAACCCATTTGTTATCACCAGTTTCATCTGAACACAGGATACAGCACTGGCATGATTTATTCCCACAAAGACTGCTACACATCGCATTACACTGGACCATTCTCTCTTGAACTTATGTGGCTCTCCCAGATGTCTGTCCATGCAGGGGTACAATAACCCAATCACAGCTGTGGAGACAGGAAAGAAAAAAGGCCCAGAAGTTAAAGCACTGCAACATTTAACTAAAATAAAGACTATCCAGACTTTGACCATTATAATCACTACTAAAACAGACCTGCAAGGATAAATAGCACAAAAACATACATTGTAAACAAAGAGGAATTTCAAAGAATTTCATTATTTAAAAAAGCCCTGTAAAACTTCAGCAGCATCTTCGAGCACTGCAGCAGTGACCTGGCAGAAGGAGCAATACAGAGACAATTTGAACTAGGGGCAGAGGATAACAGAGCTCTCCCCCACACCAAAATCTGCATTGCAGTTCGGGAAGAACAGTGATAACCTGCAGGGTGGCACTTTTGAAAGCCCCACATATCAAACATACATGTTTAAATAACTGCAAAACAAACACCACAGTACGGGCAGAGAGTGGTATTTTGTTTTTTCTTTTGTTGTTGTTACAAGCAGGTTTTGTTTAGATAATGTTTTTCTCTTCTTCAATGCTCACTATCAAGCTCACCCAGAAGAGAGAAAACCAAGAGCCTATGGCAGCTGTTGAATACAGAAAACAAACAGGACTTCCAGCCCCAGGGAATTGTGATGCTCTTTCAGTATTTCTTCATAAACGTGTTCTCTACTGCAACTGCAGCTAAAAAGACTGTTACCAACCCCACTGAGGACTAACAATGGTGCATAATGTTACACTGGTGTGGTAGGAGCGTGGCAGAGTCTGAGGCATCAGTACAGACTCCAGTGCTCTCAGTCCAGCACACTGCTGGGGGTAACACCACAAATGCTCTTTATTCTGCCACAGAGGAAACTGATCTCCAGGATTCGGGAAAATAAATCATCAGTAAAGCTGGAGCGGAAAAAAAAACCTCCCTGAGCAATTTTCTTGCCAAAGGCCTTGGGCCAAACTCATGACTAATAACAGTGATGGATGAAAGGACTTCTCTGAATGCAGCCTCGATCACCACTGATTATAAATATGCAAAATACCTTTATTCTGTTTATAATAATAAACCATACTGCAGAGAAATGTTCACGCCAATTCCAGGAAGGCTGTGCACGTACAAATGGTAAGAAAATGGGTGAATTATCAGTATTTACCACAGAGATTCCCTGTATGTATGCTAGCAGAGAAGATAAGGGAAGAAAATGGAGAAGACTGATAATGAAAAAAAAGAACCTGAACACCTCAACAGGGGTGACTCCTGCTGGGAAAAGCCAATTAAGTCTGTAATATCTTTAAATCAGGTGGCTTAAAATCAAGTAGTGCAACTGCCTAGCAAGTGACTGACTACAATTTACAAGCCTTATCCGGTCTTTTCATCAAAACCACCAACCCACCAGATCCAGAGAGGCCCACGAGTTTCTTGTGAGATGATGGCAAGACCTAACCTTCACAAGTTCCCACTCACAGCTGCAGTGTCCTCAGATTACCCAAAAGAGTACAAAGTGCAGCCTGATGCAAACAGTTTTTGGTGCAAACGCTTCAGTAAACACTGCAAACCTTGTGCATTGCTGCTATTGCAGGCTGGTATTCTGTCACTTCAACCTCCATTACTCCATACATATAAAAGATCAAATCTTTATCAGAAATATTTGTCAAGACAGTCAGTTTAAAGCATGAAAGAAAAATGCAGCAAATAGAGAATACGAACCAAAACATAATCAACAATCTCGGCAAGATAACAGGAAAAGGACTAAGACAACTAGCAGATAAAGCAGGTACGTAACTGCCACCATAATATGCCAAATGCATTTCCACTGGAGAACACAACTGACGTATTCAGCAAGCTGTTTGGAGGGTTTCATTTCAAATTAAGCTCCTCGATGATATCTGGGGTGTAGTAAATTCAAGAAGGTATTAAAAAAAAGCTAGGAAAAAAAACAGGCTTAAATATTACCATTAGCAAAACAGTGATGCCATCTTGAAAACAAGTTTATTGACTCACATTACTACCCAGAATCACGAGCTTCTCAATCTTATTAAAACTGACTTCTAGGGAGATATTGCCTACAACTAACAGTTTCACCAAAGCAGAATGCTCCAGTACTGGCTGCTAAGAATATTTCCTTAGTAAAGCGTGAAACTGACCCACAGATCAGTGATTTTCAGAGCCAAGTAGAAAGTCTAATCCTATCATGCTTGTAACACAGAATATGCCTTGATAGTTGAAAGAAGAGGGAAAGGGGATATTTCTTACTACCTACGGTGGATATACATCTCACTTAAACTAGTTAAACACACAAAAACCTCAACTCCCTACGTGGTCATGGGAGAAATGGAGCATGTTCACATCATCTGAGGTGCTCTGTTCTGCTCTGTGCCTCTACAACTATAAGCTGCCTGCCTGCCCTAAGCTCTGGAGACACATCAGGGCTCCCAGCTCCATGGAGCTAAAGCCATACCTCCAGCTGGAACAAGGAGCAAATGGAAAGCCGGACGACAAAACAGAGTACTGCTCAGGGTAGTTTGCTGTGCTCAAACAAGGCACTGTGTGATGCACAGTCTGACACTGTTGGGGTATTTTCAAGGGCTGTCTGAGAGCACATTCCTGTAATCCAGCCTCCAGGTTACATGTGGCACCACCTTCTCAAGTCTGTTGAACTTGCACTCTACCCCAGCAAAAAAAGCAGAAAAACTGCTGTGCTAACAACAGTACTATAAGACAAAATTGCAGAACAACAATTTCTGGATACATGCATATTTGTGTACACACAGAGGAGATCAGAAAGGACAGTAACAGCTCAAAAAGGGCAGTGACGACGGAAGAGAAATTTGTACCTTCCCCACCTCTTATATAGCTTTTTGTAACTATCTACCTCCCTCTCCACTTTTTCATCTCCATGCTAGGCACACACACATGAGTGAACTTACCTGATGCTGTGCCACAGCAAGGTGGTACCCACCAAGCTGAGGAGAAGATGCTTGTGATCACGTCAGGGGGGAAGAGAGTAACGTTTCTCTGGATCTGAAGCAAGTTTAATACTAATGCAAGAAATACGCCAATAAAAAACAGCACTATACCACGAATTACCAAATTCATGCCATGACTGGTTACAGATGAAATATATGGGCCACACTTTTTTGGTAAGGTTGGCATTGCATCATTTTCTGCCATGACTTCTTATATTCTCAGAGGCATCCAACAGGTTGACTGAGGAGGATTCACTTGCAATCAGTACATTGACTCTTCAATTTGGAGACACCCAAACTCTGAAAAATAATAAAAAAGGGTGAAAATGCAGATATAAGAAACATTACATATATTTCTCTTAAATTATTTGGAGATTGGGTTAAAAAAATGTCTATTGAATTTTTTTCTGAATTTTCTGAGGAGGCAATTAGTCATTTGAGAGCAGAAACAACCACAGCTGCAAAAACAACTTACGAAGAAAACAGGTTTTACAAATAGCTTTGTCTATTAGGAGATAGTGGAGGAAACACGTGGTATGGGACAGCTAGGAATGTGAAACCACAGTCAGGAGGGGAAGAAATGAAACTGGTATCAGATGGAAGAAAGGCTTGCTTTGTAGTAACAATAAATTGTTTTTCTCCCCTCATTTAAGCAACAACTGGAGATTATGTAATTCAGAAGCAAGTAAACACAGCCCTTAATTCCACGTCAGCCACAGAGGTTCATAGATCTCTCTTCCTGAAGAGATGCCAGAAAACATTTCTCAACTGGAAAGTGAAATCTGAAAAATAATTTTCAGGATGGAGTCAGAATTTCAACAATCCTGCAGCGAGCACATTTTGTAACCCCTGGTAAGTGCAAACAACTTGGCAAACCAGAGCAGTAACCGCAATACAGAGAAATATTTGCCCAAGTAACACACTTTTGGTGAAAACTGCCATATATTATTTCAAACCATAACTGTAATCAGGCACAAAAGCACCTGAGGGTGAAGGTAAAAGGAGCTCCGCCTGCCCGTGCACTCGGCAGCGTCCTACGTGAGTAACTGCAGGCACTACAGGAATGGCAGAGTTCCCATCCCAATCACTCTTTTTTAAAAAAAACCTGTCCATCAAAAGTCTTGTTATACATGAATTCAGTGCCACATTCATGTATAACAACGATTTTGATCGACAGCTTAGCCACCTGGAACTTCAGAAAAAAAGCCCTGACATTGTTTTTAAATTTGAAACTGCCAGCCAGTGGCGGCTTCTGTTAACTCTTATTTATGGCACATGGGGAGCCAAACCAGAACATCCATCTCCCTTCCTCCCTGGCTCCAGCAGATCCAGAGGAAGCTCTCTGAAGATGCAGCAGCAGGGCAGAGGACACAGCATTCAGTTTTGCTAACTGAAAGCTGAAAGGGAAGTTAAAAACATCCAGGCTACGTAAGATACTCCAGGTAACTGCACAGAAGATGCAATGCCACACCATGGCATCCTCCATCAGATGGAAAAGGTTCCAACAGGCAACAAAAAAAAGGAAAAAAAAAAGTTCTGATCACATGCAGCTTCCCACTGGCAATCTGGGGAGGCAGCAGTGTCTTCCTGAGAACACAGGATCTCTTCTGCACAGCTGATTCTCCACATTATTTGTAATAATGAGCACCTCTTAGGGGGACAGAGGACAAACAAGGTGTCTGGCTTCTCAGTCTGCTTCCTGACTCACACTGGTACTGGCACTGCAACACACTTCCCTCAAGCAAAAAGGAGGTGCTCCAGATTTTTTTCCCCTCCTCCGGATGACATGGCTCGGTTGCTTGGATAAGTGGAGCTTGGATAATACGTTTAGCCTCCAGGAAAGAAAGCATGGAATCACAAATACATCACTATTTCAGCTGAGAGTCTCCCCTGTATCCCTGAGGGCTTGCCCAACAGATGATCACAGGAATTCTCAGAATTTACATGAGTCTTTTCAATACATAGCATTGGAGGCTGTAGGTCCCAGTTACAAACTCTGCAGGAATATTGTGCCTAATGGGGGCTTTCAAACTGTTATGTCCCTTCTAAGCTTTAGCTTGCCTAGGAAAACAAGTTAAACCCCTGACTCTGTACTTACTTCTCCATCCCAACAGCTTTTGGCATTTCCTGAAACCTCCACATCCCTTTTTTTAAATACATGACCACAACTGATGTACAAGAAAGTTCACACCTATGTATTTCTCTATAACGAGCAGTTTTGCAGCACACAGGATCATGGTTTCTTTTTTCAGTCATAAAGTGGTTTGCTCATGTCCCATGATCCATTAGTACATTCCAGTGTCTCTTCTTTCATGTTACTGAAGTCCTTGTTCCCTGCTACCAGCCCCAAACCTTGTATGCTGCATTTCAGGTGTTATTTACTCTGACACTCAACGTCATTCCATTTTTCCTGCACAATCTCCCAGTCCTCTTTGGCCCTCCAAACGGTTCTCAGCTTTGGGTCCTCAGCAAGCAAGATTACTGCATCCTATTTTGTGCACCAATGTCATCAACTAAAATAGAACCATAGAGTGCTTTGGGTTGGAAGACCTTAAAGATCACCTAGTTCCAACCCCCAAATACTGAGAGAGATCGGCCCAAGCCTCCAGTCTTTGATGAAATCTATTAACAATTTCCCCACAGCAATTATTTCCCCCTTTTATACTATCTCTTGATATGTCCCTCTAACAAGACTCTGCTTTTTGTAATTCTTCAACTACAGGAATCTTCAACCTAATTAAGAATCACCAACTGTCCCGCACAGCAATACTGATGTAAACACAAATCAAATGTTATTGGTTTTTTTCTAGAAATGCTGATGATTGAAAAAAGTACAATTTTAGTCTCACATAAACCAGTTTCAGACTAGGAAACCTGCATTTATCCAATTTCCTTTTATTTGTCATTCAGCAAATATATATTTAATTGTGAAGGCTTAGCAAAACGTCAGAGGACTTTGCCACTCAAGGAAATCATTCACTGCTCTTATACAACCACTGCAGCTGCAAGTCATACAAGGCACCAGCAACAGATTTTTACTACCAGGTAAACAGCCTGACCACAGCGAGGGCACCCGAGTGGGTACACATTGGTAGATGTTCAAGGTCCTAAAGTAGCAGTAGTTTTCACCTGGTGGTTTCTCACCCCACACGTATCATTTCTATTTGTTTTATCCCAGTTTCTAAATTTTCCACTGACCTTACGGCCTTCTGGCATGCCACAGAGCAACAGGGGAATGGAGCAAGGTGACCAATTCTCATGAAAAATTCCTCAGTGCCTCAGACAGCTCTGGCTCAGCAAAGATATTTAGTATCATCACTTTTCATGAAAATGAAATTAAAATCTCTAAAGGCAACATCACCTCCTCCTCCTGGACTGGGAGGCTACTGCGCCTGCAGACAGAGAAGACAATGTCTCCTTTTAAGACTTATTTTTTACTGAGTGTTTCCGCTCAGATGGGAATAGATCACATATTGAACCAACACCATTTCTGAGCCTGCGTCTCTTGGGACTGCTCATTCACAACTGTAACACCACACTGAAAGCTACAGGCTTGGCACTGCCAGAGCCTCAGCTGCGCTTCCCAAGCCTTCCTTCCAACACACCGTGCAAGGCGTAAACACGGTGTCTGGCGTTGCACAAACACTTAAGGAGTAAATTACCACCTTAGACATTTTGGAAACACTTAGTCACTTAACTGTCTCCTGTTGAGAAGGTCCGTCCTGCAAGTGCCCCCCGGGGCTCTCCGGGAGCACCGGGAGAGATCCACAACTCCTGACACCGCACACACACACCGGGCACGGCGCGGCGTTGCGGGGGCCGACTAAGAGAAGATTTATTTAAGCAACACCGCGCAGGAGATGGCAAGAAACCATCTGTCGCCTGCCAAAACCAAACCACCCCCTTCTTCGGTCGCGGCGGTTCAGCCCCGGACCCGCGGGAGCCCTGCCAGCCTGGGCAGAGCCACCCCCGGCCCGGTTCGCCCCGGCCCGGCCCTTCAGCAGGGCCGGCGGAGGGCCGCGGGCCCGGGGCAGCCCGCGGGGCACAGGGTCCCGCTGCCGCCCGGGGAACGGCCCCCGCCGGCCTGTCCCCGCCTCGCCCCCGCCACGGTCCGGCCTGCCGCCCCCAGGCGTCACCCCGTCCCGAGGCCCAACGGGGCAGGACCGGCCGGGGGCACCGCTGACCCGCCCGGCCCGGCGCGTCCGCCCCCTCCGCGGCCCCGGCCCGGCCCCTCGCAGCCCCGGCACTCACACTCGGCCTCCGCATCTTCCGCCAGTCCCGCCCCGCGCAGCCTCCGCAGCGCCCGCCGGGCCTGGGGCGCGCTGGGCTCGGGCGGGCGGGAGAGAGAGAATCCCGGGGTCTGCCCGGGTATCCATCGGCACGGCGCCCATCCGCCTCGGGTTCCATCGGCACGGCGCCCATCCGCCTCGGGTTCCATCGGCACGGCACCCATCCGCCTCGGGAACGCGTTGGGGACCAGAATTGGGGGTGTTGGAGCAAGTCCAGAGCAGCGCCACGCAGTTCGCAAGAGGACTGGAGCACCTCACCCTGAGTGCTGTGTGCAGTTTCAGCACCGCAATATAAGAAAGACATTAAGCTGTTAAGCGTCTAAAGGAGGGCAGCGAGGATGGTGAAGTGCCTTGAGGGGAAGCCGTATGAGGAGCGGCTAAGGGCACTTGGTCTATTCAGCCTGGAGAAGAGGAGGCTGAGGGGAGCCCTCTTTGTGGTCTTCAACATCCTCACCAGGGAAGTGGAGGGCCAGGTGCTGATCTCTTCCCTCTGGTGACCAGTGACAGAACCCGAGGGAATGGCCTGAAGCCAAGGGAGGTTTGGGTTGGATGTCAGGAAAAGGCTTTTCACCCAGAGGGTGGCTGAGCACTGGAACAGGCTCCCCGTGGTCACAGCACCAAGCCTGACAAGAGCTCAAGAAGCATTTGGAAATTGCTCCCAGGCACATGCTGGGATTCTTGGGGTGTCCTGTGCAGGGACAGGAGTTGGACTCAATGATCCTGATGAGTCACCTCCAACTCAGCATATTATGTGATTCTATGACAGGCCAGGGATGTTGGGACTGTTCAGCCAGGAGAAGAGAAAGTTGTGTGGAGCTCTCATAGCAATCTTCCAGTATTTGAAGGGGGCCTACTGGGAAGCTGGAGAGGGACTGTTCATCAGGAGCTGTAGTGATAGGACAAGGAGTAATGGGTACAAAGTGAAAGAGGACAAATTCAGGTTAGATGTTAGGGAGAAGTTCATTACTTCGAGGATGGTGAGGCCCTGGCACGGATTGCCTAGAGAGGTTGTGGATGCCCCAACCCTAGCAGTGTTCAAGGCCAGGCTGGATAAAGCCTTGAGCAACCTGGTCTAGTGGGAGGTGTCCCTGGCCATGGCAGGAGGTTGGGACTAGATGATCTTTAAGGCCCCTTTCAACCCCTTAACATTCATTGATTCTGTAATTAAAACAAGATCCATACGCATTGGGGTATTTGCACCACGGTCACGCTCCCAGCTGGGCTCGGTGCACTGGTGTGGCTGTGCCACAGCCCTGTTACACATTCAAGCACAGACAGGGGGATAAAGTCCTTGTCCCCACCTGACGCTGCCAGCCCCGCTGTGGCCGTCCTGAGCACCTGGTCTCACAAGGACTTTCCCATGCACTTGCTTTATTGATTGAGTCCAAAATTACACATCCCCTTACTCCAGAAGCCGCATTTTTATTGCCAGACTGGGAGAATGTACAACGTTAAGCAGAAAACAACTTGTGTTAGCCAGTCTTAACTGCTGGTAAAGGCATCACAATAAAAAGTACCATTTATTGTATGTACATGAGGCAGATTATGGGAGAATAATACTGTTACAGCCATTTATATCTCATATATATTCCTTATAACATTGTACTCATTATTATTCTATTATTAATGAACTCTTCCCTTTCTCATTGCACTGATTTTGAATACAATTTATTAAAAATATTTGAATGTTGCATTCCCTCAAGCTTAGTATTTCGTTGCAAAGACTTTGACAGAGCTTTCCATATTACGAAGTCTGCAGTGGTTCCGTGCAGATCCCATTGTAGTTTCCAGAATAATGACTGGGTAGGATGGAATTTGTAGCTATTTACTATATTGGCATGTTTAGTCATAACTGTGGTTTCTTTGTGCTGGTATGTTGCAAACAACAGTGTCACCAAACATATAGAAACTCAGAGGGGAATACATGGGTCTATAATAGATATACTAAGAATGGAATACAGCGACATTTGCAGCGGTATAAACCCATTGTGGTTTATATGAGCAATAAATGAATTTTCAAATCATTCAACTGAGTTTTGTCACACAGAAACAAAGTCTTTTTATTCTTAGTAATTGTAATTCCTAATGAGCTGCTTGCTCTGCCTGTGGTTTACATATTTGCTTTGCTGACCTTGAACTCCAAATTTTGGATCGAGAAAGACAAACAGATGTTTTAATCAAATTAAATAGCTTTCCCTAATGTAAGATAAATGCCTTTGGCCAGCCATGTGCCTGAAGCAGAGTAAAGTGCCTTATCACTCTGTGCCTTAAGGACTAGGACCACCAGAAAGCCTGAAATCAGAAACTTTGTGAACATAAGGTGTGTGCACTAGAGAGGAAAGTATGACATAAGTAGATGGAGACTGTGAATAATCACTGGATCTTTCCTTCTCTAGACACACATATATATAGTCAGGTAATGGCTTGTATATAAATTTGGATTAGTTACAGTCAGGTCTGCTGCTGTGTTTGGCACTATAAAATTACAAGAGATTAGTTCCTACAAAAAATAAATTAGCATATGATAAATATTAGCCATATTACTGGACGGTATGAAGACTAAAATGTGAGAAAGTGAATAACCAGTGTTGGAGTAAATCTCTGCAACTCCAAGGACTTCATGGCATTGCCAGTTTACACCAGCTGAAGGCTCAGTCCTTACACCCATCTGGTTATCCTGGAGGACACAATGTCCTGTTGCACAGAAATGGGAGGAGCACGAGGGAAAAACATGCAAAAACATATCTGAATTGGAAATTGCCAAAACAAATATATCAGCAAATAGTGTTGCAGACAAAGGAGACAGAGATATGACCTGCAGAGAAATGTCGCTTGCTCTGACTTTGACTGGAATTGCTATGAAACATCATGGGAGAATCATCTCTTTTGGAAAGCAATATGGAGTTGTTTCATTGCAGTGGCTGCAGAAGAAGATGATACAGAGTGTTCTGCACTTAGTTTTGGGACATCAGTATTGCTCTGGATAAATAGACTTGACAATGAAAAGCCCAGGAAATTTCATATAAAGCAGAGGAGCCTATAGCAGCCACACACCTGTAGAAAAAGGGGAATTGCTCTCATGACTCTAACAATGGCTTTTTAAAAGCTGTATTTTATAAAGGCTTTCAGAGCTGCCTGATACACTGGTTGAGTGAGCCAAGGCCAGTTGGCTGGACTGGAGATGTGTCTATAGCAGGATAATAAGGAAAGAGTAAGAAACAATGGATAGATACATACATGGATGGATGGGTTAGAAAAAGAGAAAGAAAATAAGAGAGTAGGTAAAAAAACCTCACCTGAGTCTCTCTGTGATGATTCATAATGAAATGATCAGGTGTTCCTGGAACTATATGCATGTGTAACTTGAGAAAAGCCTATGTGTATGACAAGACAAAGCCTCCAGTGGCAGTCTGGAGCCAATTCCTGGTAGGGCTTCCAGAGTTTATATAAAGGACAACATCAGGCCAAAGCTGTTCCTCTTTCTGAAGGCCTGCCTGTACTGTGGGGGGGGCAGTGGGGCAACCACAGAGTGTAAGACCATTCAGTGTAAGACCATCTGGGTAGGAGCCTTGTTTCCAGGGATTAAGCCAGGTTTGCTTCCTGTTAGGTATGTGATTGAACGTCTGTAGAGCTCTTCAAGCACAGCCTGCAGATCCTAAGTATCTGTGGCATCCCCGTAGCAGGAGTTCTGCGGAATCCTCTTTGTGAGCCGTGCTGAAGCATAGCCAATGACCAACAGAAGTTTCCCAACAAGGACTGCCTGTCCCTTCCTCATTTTACATTCCAGACAACTATATCAAGTATTGCTGTTATTTAGGGCCTTTAGCTAGTGTTGTTAAAAAAATAAAAAAAAAGAGTAAATAATAGATTTTTCTCTACCAAATCATTCTTCAGGAATATAAATCTCTTCCAAAGCCTTCTTGGAAGTTCTCCATGCATGCAGAAGGCTTCTGGAAGGCCAAAGTGAAGAATTAAAGAACTGAGCACATTTTCCACAAATGTCTTTTATCTCACCAGCTGAGGATGCTGTCTTGTCTTCTACCATCTTTTACTATCTGCAGAAGGCATTGCAGGCACCTGGGTTAGCACACAGCTGGTCACAG